CAGTAATATCAAAATTATGAAATTCAGCTTCAGATAAATTTTTTAAACATTAAATTCAAATTAAAAATATGTAAAAAAGTTGTACAAAAATTTTACTTGTACATTAAAATTTATGTCTTCAGAGAAAAATAATAAACTGATGTATTCTAGTATTTTTACTTCCTTGTATGAAGTAAAGGAAGTACTACAATCACAAAAAATTACCAAGTACCATATTTTAACGAAAATATCCATTTTGATCGCTAAAAAAATGCAATTTAGTGATTTTTTTGCATGACATCTGTATGTAAGGACAGAATAAAGGACTCTTTACCAAATGATTATAAAACTGATTTACAAGGGCTGTAAATTAAGTAATGGCAACATAAGTATAAATCAGTTTTTAATGAACTTACAAGTACAATTGCATTACATTAATTCTATATAAACAGCAAAGCTTATAACCTTTTGCCAAATGTCAGGAAACCATTGTAGACCAGTGCCAAAGTGTTGACTGTTGATGTGAGCAACTGAGTGCCCTACTGCGTGAGTACAGATGAAACGTCATGAAATCGGTGACCTCAGAAGGGTTCCTTCAACTTATGAAACAGATCACAAGGACTTATGTTGGGTGAGTAGGGAGAATGTTCCAGGATTTCCCACTGCCACCCTCGCAAAAAGAGAGTGATATTGTTTGTGACATGGCAATGAGCATTGTCATGCAATACGATAGGAAGATTGTTGTGCAATAAATCAGACGGTGCTGTAGAAATCGGCAATAGTAATCTATGTTGAGAGTTTGTCCTTCAGGTACAGCATGAGTAAGAATCACACCATCCCAGTCGTATGCCATGATCAGCATAACCTTCACCCGACTGAGTTCCTGTCGAAATTTCCGTGGACGAGGCAAACCTTGGTGACACCATTCATTTGATTGACGCTTTAATTCATGCTCATAGTCTTGTGTCCATGTCTCATCAATGGCAACAATACGCTGCAGAAATGCATCTCTTCCATTGCGGTATCTCTCCAAGTGGGTGCCAGCTAGTGCATATAGGTGTCATTTCTGTAATTTGGTTAGTCGATGTGGAACCCAGCGGGAAGCAATTTTCCTCATGTTGAGAGACACATCAAATGGTGTGGCATCAATGGATGTGCCACACCATTTGATGACTCATGCCAAGCTCTAAGCATAATTCTCGTACAGTCCATCAGTGATCTATGATAAGGAGACTGCTCAGGATGTCAATCTGCTCTTGAAGAATGGAGGGCCGACCTGTGCGTTGCAAATCCATAGTCTCATTCCGACCTGAAAGAAATACTTGAACCAATCGTGCTACTGTCCTATACGGTAAAGCATTTGTGCCACAGGCTTCCACTAATTCTCGATAGCATTCTGTTTGCATTTTTGCCACGAGCAACCTCAATTTTAAGCTCCGACCGCTGATCACCTTTTGAAAACATGCTTTAGAGCGATGGAAACGAAACTCCTCACTTTAACGCCACACAAAAACTACTCTTCAAAGCAGATCAACTTTTTGCGGTTTTGCAGCTGAAGATGATGGTTCGGTAAAACCATCAAAACTAGTCCTGTGAAAATTTTGTAGGTATAACGCTGATTTTTGTTGTTTGACTTCTGAATCAGATCAACTGTTTTTTGCACTCTACACATCGACAACAGCGCCATCTCACCACTCCCATATACTATTTGTGCATGCCCACCCTTCTGCGAGTTTCAAGGTTAAGTTGCCACATTTAATTTACAACCCCCATAAAATGGATTCAAAATATATTTTTTTTCATGGTGTCTGTATGTATGTATGCATCTCGTATAACTCAAAAACGAGTAGTCTCAGAACATTGGAATTTTGTACGTGGGGCTGCTATAACATGTAGATGTGAAACTCTCTTTTTGGTTACAATCGGCCACACCAAAAGTGTATAAATATATGTATATATATATATATATATATCCACTGTATTAGTCAGCTCAGTGAGCTCAGTTTCTTTGTTTGTTTGTAAATTATGCATTTTTTTCTTTTAAAAATGATTTTTTATGTTGTTCTTATCTTCTGGTTAAGGTTTTTATGCCCTTAGTTAACCTGCATGTTATAGTTGCAGAATTATCAACAATTTAAAAGTTGCTTAAGTTCAGCTAAGACTAATATTTTTACCATAGCAGCCATATTTATTTACATTTGAAACTTAGCAGAATAGTGGATTTGTTGCTAATCTAAAGAAACTAAGCTTTGCAATAACAAATAATAAAGGAAGTCATAACAAAGTAATGACTTCCTTTATTATTGCAAATGAAATTATGCTTAATCCATTCTGGAACAAAAAATTTGTCTTCTTGCTGACTGAATTGCTTATTTCTGTGTAAAAACTGTAATTTTTAGTTGTAAATTTAAAACAAAACTTTTTTAAACTATATTTGGTGTTTTAAGCTTTTCTACATCTTTAAATTTTTAATGAAGATATTCTGTGATTTTATTATTTTTGCCTTGCAGCAAAGTGAGAACTCAATTGATTGAATGAGAAATACATCTCTATTGAAATTCGAGGAAATGCGTGTTTCATATTAACATAAAATATTGTCGCCAGTCTGTTAAAGACAGAGGAGAATGCTTACGAGTACCACATGCGCATTAGGTGAGCAGTGCTGAATCTTCAGTCAAAAACTGTTTATTAAACTAAAGGGAAATTTGCCCAGAAGGACTACTAATTTCATTATGGTGTTTTGCGTTGTTTCACTTTTCAAATTGTTGCCACCAAATATTATCGCCCTGTATTATATTTACAGAAATTAAATAATGAAGAATCTGCATAAATGTACATATGTTCTTTGCAGTAATAAAATAATAGGTACCTAGAGCAATCAAATTTTGAATATTGTAATCCTCCTGCGTATATGGGCATCTAGAAGCCCAAATTTGAAATTTTTTTTATTATCGATTTCATATTTTGTAAAACTTTAACAAATTTTTGATTAACAAAATCAAGGATTTCAAAGCAAGCAATGGCAACGTTCAACTCAAAAAACATCTCCAGTGCATTGCGGTATTTCTTTTCAACTGAATTTTATGATTTAAGAGCGAAAACATGATATTTAAGAAATAAAGTTAACACACAAAAAGGATAAAAAAATGTACCTTGGGACGTAATTTAAAATCTGAAACTTTTCAGGCTTCTTTTTATTTGTTTAATTTTTTTATACATTGTTTTAGATTTATTATAATATTTGAATAGAACATGCGACAGCGATTAGATAATTCTTCAGATGGTATAATTTTCTTGCATTGAGTTATAAAATTAATGAGATGTAACACTGTTAAGTGAACCTAGTGTCAGAGTATTGCTATGGTAAATAAATATAATTAATTTTAAAAGCACATTTATTCTATTGTGGTTTATGCGCTATTGACAAAGTAGATTAAATTCAATTCAATAAGTTTAAATGAAACACAGGGAAAAATGCATATAATTTATTATTCCGTACAAGAAAGTCATGTGGTGTACACATCAGATTTTTTTTTAATTAATAAAACCAAACATGTTTCAAAATATATAAAGAAATAAATTTATATTTTACATCTAACTTAAAAAATAAATAAATTTTAAACCCACTTTAACCATCAAATAAGTGAATAAAAAATTCAGAAAAATGATTCAAAGTTCTTTGACCGCATGAAGTCTTCTTCAATGTAATCTTTCAATTCATTAAATAATATTCAAATGCATGTGACAGTCTATTTACATTTGAATGCTATTTAGTGAATTCATGTATAACGTTCCATTATGACAGGTCTACCTTTCTAAGCATTTGTCATAACCAAATACAGGCAAAAGTCGTTAATCCGGACTCGTCGGGACTTCGGCGATTCCGGATTATCAATTTTTCCGGATTATAGATCATCAGTTTAAATCTGGTAAGATGGCATGCAGAAATTATAAAATTAAAAATATGAAACCATAATTTATGAAATAAAGAACAATTATGATCTAAAGGGTATCAAAATTTACAAATAAAAAAGCTTAATATTTATTTGTTTACTTTATTCAACATTTCTTTCAATGTAAGTTGTTCAAGTTGCTTCGTTTTTTATGTGATAATACTTTCTCTTTAATTCTATAAACAGACATAATTTCTTGTTCAGTTACAAAGTTCCGCTGTTCAAGTCCTATAATTGCTGTGTCGAGAATACCGACTAATTTGTTAATCGAAATTCTTTCGTTTTCAAAGAAAGTGACCTCTGTGTCACTTTCTTCGCTATCGGAAGCGAATTATAATGACAAGGAATTTGATGTAAATCATATCAAAGACGGAGTACATCGAGATGAAATACTACATTTAGTAAGTAATTATAAGAAAAATAAAATAAAAACATCTGCCCAGAAGATAAGGATAGTGCTGACAGATCAACTTCCAATTCCCCCACACATGCAGAGCAGCGTGAAATTGATAAACAGATTTTGGAATGATAAACAAATCCATTTTCCTTTATTAATTTTTTGCAGCAATTCCACTTTTTGTTAAATGGACTTCGAAACATACTTTCACTTTGTAGATCTTTGACATAATCGAAAGTTCAAGCTTACTTTTATAAAATTGCTCTAACAGTCTGCAAAAAGTAATAAGCCGGATTAATGCGATGCATGCACAGAAAGTTTGTAGCTTTGAGGTCCGGATTATAGATCATTCTGGATTATGGGTGTCCGAATTAACGACTTTTGACTGTAATCAATAAATCAATCAACCTGATATAATTTTATATTTAAAAATCACAAAACTTCCCTGACAGCACAATAATAAGCATATGTAAGCAAAAGTCCCTTGCTTCAAAAGCAAATTTTTTTATTACATCACAACTGTTATTCAAAAAAAAAAAAAAAAAAAAAACTGTTAGTTTTTAGAGCAGTTTTAAGTAAATAATGATTAAAATGCATAATTTCGGTGACTGTATATATAGAAAAAATATCATATCCTATGAAATTAATAAACATATTCATAGTAAAGTTACCTGATGCAATACTGAAATGCATTTGAGCATTTTTTCCTTTATCTTTATCCACAGCAAGTATTCTAGTAACAGATGTACCAAGAGTGGCTGTTTCATACACTTGACTTTCAAATGAAGGAGCTAAAAATTCTGGATGGTGATCATTTTCATCATGCACGTTAATAATTATCCGAGCAAAACTGCGCTGTGATGGAGTTCCATTGTCCCGAACTGTTACAGTTAACATGTGTTTCTTAATCGATTCATGATCAAGGGGATGAGACACAGATAACTTTCCAGAGAATGAACCAATTTGGAATAACTTCAGACTCTGTGGATTAGCACTGTAAAATACTTAAAATAAGTGACAACATAAATAAAATGACATGACTACACAAAGTACTGACACAGTTCATTTTATTAGATAAAAAGTAAAAATGACAGTTAAAATATGCAGCATACAAAATTCTTAGGGCATTATTAAATCATTAAATCTATTTAAAATTCTACAACAGAATAATTTACATATATTTTATTCATATGATAATACAAAAAGCATTTTAGTAGTTAGAGGAGTTTAAGTACAAGCACTGATTTATCGCACAATGCTTTAAGATTAATAATGCCAGTGGCACTGAATTCCATCATAATAAATGCGCCACCTGCATTTCAAATTTGTTACATTTATTTTATGATTATTATTATTACAGTGCACTGCAAAACATGTGTGATTTGAAAAGAAAAAAAATCTGTAATAATGGTTTCATGGAATACAGTTGGTTCTTTCTCATAAGTCTGCAATATATTCATGGTACAAGAATTTTGTTATAAGTAGTAATTCTTTTTTTTATCCTGGTGAAACCCCAAAATAACCATGTTTCTGCTGATGTCATTCAAAAACAGGTGTCAAATATATTTTATAGCACAGGCATTTCATATTAAACAGTTTGGTATTTGTTAAAAAAATTCATTTAAGATCATACAAATTCTGATGAATAACTGACTAATGTAGGTAAGATACTATTAAGAAATATAGCATTAGAGAGAATATAATCTGAATGTTACTGAATGCAATCTTTAGGAATCAGTTAGTGATGAAATAAACATACACTATCCATTCTTCATTTAAAAAGTACTTTGTATTATTTCAATATTCAAGGATTAGTTAAACAAAATCAATGGTATAATAACCACTTCATACCCCATATTTGGCATTTTTTGATTTTATGGAATTTCATTTAATTGTTTTAGTTTTTTATACTTGAAAAACCTTTTTCATTCCAAAATTCAAATTATTATTTCAATTCCAGAAATGATATCAAATATCAAACTGACTGAGATATTCTTTACCTTAATTTAGACATTTCCCCTTTCTGTCCAACGGCAGTGGAAGTTTAGCACAATTTAAGATAATTCACATTGAACATATAGCCATAATTTGTGTCTCTTTATTATCTAACTAAAGGATTACCTGTTAGTTAAAAACTTCTATCAGAGTGATTGGCAAAATCTCCGTCAACTTTATGTTTGGTGGGATTTCATAATTAAAACAGGCAAATTTTATGATCAAAAAGTGTTTTTTTTTTTTAAATCTCACATAATTTGAAATATAGGCTCTTGATATTCAAATTGTCAATAAATACGATGATTGTTTTTAAAATATTAGAGCCGAAATTTTTCCCATTGATTTATTTGGCTTTTCTAATGTGAACTCCATTTTTTATATGCTCAACTATCGGAATTTTCCAGTATCTGGAATCTGGTATCTCTTGAGCTTTCTGGATAATCAAATATTTACTATACATACTGGCTATTTGATTTTTGCTTCAATAAAATCATAGACAGAAGTAAATTGATATTTTAGTTTAAATGCAAAACAAACAGCTATGTATTTTCTGCATTTGACAACAAACAAAATAATACAGCATAAAATGATATAGCACACATCAGAAACAGCATTTACATTTTGCATCATCATTGAAATGGTTAGTTTAATCATTGTTTCTTGATTAATTACAGGTTAAATGCATAGTTAGCATCTTCAGGTGCAAGTCTCTAAAATTTGCATTACTACCTGTAAACAATGATTTTCTCTTCACATATATACGCTCCTGTATCTTTTATATAGAAATTCTGAAAAATTTTATTTCTCGCAACTGCATGCAAAGTAAACATAAACATCAATATTCAAGAGTTAGTCAATAGTTACTTAATGCCACCTGTTATAAATGGAAAAGAAGAGATTTTTGTCAATTTCATCTAAATCTGATGCTTCCAACTGCAGAATGGTACTCCCAACAGCTACATTTTCACCAATTTCAACAGTATACAGGTCTTTTGTAAATAGTGGTTGATGATCATTCACATCAATGACTTTAATGGGCAACTGAAATTGTAAAAGATATAAATGTGAACAGCTGAAAACAAAAATACACAATCAATTTCAAATTAAAGGAAGACTGCTTCTTAAATAAGTTATTTACTAATTATATGTATATATATATATATACTATACATAAGTCCTATTTTGTAAAAAAAGAAGTATTTTAAACACTTTTTCAAAAGAAATATACATTACTAATAAATGATTTAAAAAACTGACTAAAATTTTAGATGATACTGCAACACACTATTAAAAAAATAAGAGTAACATGTAAGATTAAATAAACAGATAAAAGGAAATAAGCCAATGAATAAAATGGCTGTAATAAACTATATATTTTAGAATTTCTGCACCGATGGATAACATAAATGTAATAGGAAAATCAAGTTTATATTAATTTACTCAGATATGTAAATTCTTGAATAACATTTAATCTTAATTTTTGAATTATTATCTAACAATTTATCATTAATGGCTGTTAGGGCCAAATAAAACATGCCAACAGGTTCTGACAGCTAAGGCAACTCTCCAAGTAAGTACTCTCCACTGAGTACTTTAAAATTCCCTTTCACATTTAACATTAATTTTTTTATGACTGAAATTTGCTCTCCCACTCATTTTCATCAGAGTCAAATGCCTCACTCATTCCAATCTTCTCTTCTATCACCCAAAATATGTTGTTTCAAATTCTACACTCTTCAAACCAGACATTACATTCATTTAACTTTCTTATCATTGAGAATGTTGTGCAAGGTGAATCATATGGGTGACTAAATCCTACCCATGAGAAGGGGGACTTTTTATTTATGTAGCAGACCCAATAACCTTCAAATGATCATGAACTGCACTTTCTGGAATATCTGTTCTGTATGATAGTTCCTCATATTACTAGGATTTTAGCAGCAGCTTCCTATAACAGGTCCTTGTTTACAGAGGATAGTCATCTAGAATGGGCAACAACATCCTTGAGGCAGAAATTTCCATAATTAAACTTCTCAAACCACCTTTGAAATGTGTCATCAGAAACTGCCCTTTTCCATATATATACGTATATATAAAAAATTTGCAAGCAGTTTTACCAGCAGTTTTCCCTCTTTTTAAAATAAAACAGCATTAATATGACCAAAATGAGCTTTCGGTTCTACATTCTTAGCACTGCATTGAAATAAAAATTATGCCACAACACATGCAAAAGTTATGCGATGTGAGCAGAAAAGATCGGGTTTAAACATCTGCTTCAATCAAGATCATTCTATATCAGCAATAAAAAATTAATTAGAAGAAACCATGCTTCAATAAAAATAAAAACTGAAGAAATTTTAGGATGACCCAATACATGTACAATAATATTTCATTCAAAATAAAAATTCAAACTAATGCTTAAATTTAAAAAATCAAATAAAGGGACAAATAAACCCGGAAATTTATAGCCTTCTCTTATTAATACCTTAATTATAATCAAAGTTATGTCATGCCACTGGATTTATTAACTATTCATAAATAAAAATGATAAAAGAGGAAAATTGTTTATTATTATTATCTCTTTCGCTTTTTTAATTTTGAAGTAGGCGTAAAATGAAAATTTCTTACCTGTTGATAAATTACATTAACACCGTCAGTAATACTGATGTTGAGGTTATAATCAGATTTCTTTTCCCAATCAAGAGGTTGAGCGACAGATACAGTACCCTCGTGAGGTAGGATTTTAAATGCATCATCAGTATTGCCACCTGCATAAATTAAAAGTAAATAAATTAAATATTTTTACATCTAAAACAACAAATAGAGTATAACAAAATTAAATTAATAATTTATTCATATGAACTGCTAACATGTTTCATTATCTAAAAAAATGCACTGATATATTTAAAAGAAGAACTCATAATGAAGTTTTTTCAAAAAGAATTCTGTCAGAATTCAGTCTGTTCACATTCAAATACATGTATTACATATAGCTAAACATCGCATATATATGAAAATGTATTGCTTTATTGCAAAGTTACTGATGTTCAGAGTGTTGTTATTGCACAGAAGTGTTGTTACAATGTTTGAGCAGAAATATTTCTCTAATCAAATTTTTGTAGGTAAAAAAACCGCTGAATTTCATTGGTGTAAAAAAAATAAATGTTAATAATTATGCCAAATAAATGTTTTCCTCACAGCATGCTAAATAATTTTAACTGAAAACAGACACACATTTCATGATTAACTTTGAAAGCTTTTACTGAAAGGATTCAAATAATTCAACTTGTGACATTAGTAACATACTAAATTCATAAATATCTGCCTATAAAAGAGATAATAAATTTCATTTGAGAGAATTTTTTGCTATTAACAATGTTTATTTAAATTTCATTTCCCCCTAAGATCTATATCTTTAGCAAAAGGTGCCATTATTTATACGTAAAATATGTTATAAATAAAATAACAATTAAATAGGGGACAATAAGTTTTAAAAAATACTTGTAATACTGATGAGTCAACACTGCACTATATTTTGAATAAACATTTATTACCACACAAAGCAAATGCTTTTCATGCCATGTTTTATATAATCAGAAATATTTTTAAGAAAGCATTACACTGCACAAAAACATAACTTTAACATAAATACTATGGGTTTTGGGGACACAAATAAACTGTCATCACATCAATTACCATGAGTACTGAAGACAGAACTCCACCCCCTCCTTAATACTAGAAGAATCAAAAGAACTGTGACATCTTTTAGAGCCATTCTAAGAACACACCACTACAAGTTTTCCATTTTGTATTGGATCTTGCCATTATTTGCATTAATACAAGAGAACTGAATTTAAAGTAAGATGCACCAACGTAAGTTTCTTTTAAAAAAATACAATCTTATAAATTAATTGCCATGCAGTACAGAAAAAAATTATATAAAGAATGTTCAAAGCATCAAATTTACAAATGGTCAACCAAAACTTCTTTCACGAGAAAAACATCAATATATATAAAGATATATCCAATACTTTTATGCCAAAAGTCAAAATTTAAATTTTCATAAAGCTTAATTACCAACAATAGAATACCACAGTTTATCCCCATCAGGATCTTCAGCTTGTAGGAAAGTAACAACCTGATTTATAGCATCATTTTCAGCTACAGCTGCATGAGTATCTGCTTCATTACACACAGGAGGGCGTGAAGATGGACGTGGGCGAGGTAGGACATCAATTTTAACTCTAATTGTAGCAGACCGTGAAGGAGTGCCATTATCAGTAGCTTGAACCTAAAATAAAATGAATCTTATATTTTAAAAGTTCCAATTTTTATTGCATTTTTGTGATGCCAAGAAACACACACATAATATATCTGTGTGCGACGCACATACAAAATGTATATATATGTGCGTGTGTGTGCGGAACACATACACAGAGAAAAACACCACAAGCAGCTAAATTTAATTTAAGCACAAATTTTAAAACAAACTTATCCCCATTAATGAAGCATTAGAATTTTAAACAACTGACATGAACAATAGTTATTTAATAAAAATAAGATAGGAATGTCTACAAAAAGTTTTCTTCAAGTTTTTTTTCTGGTTAAAATGAATTATCAATTAAATCATTGTATTAAACTGAAATAAATAATATAAAATAAAAAAGAAGAATGAAGGATGAGTAAAGAAATTAAAAATAATGCTTTCTTATAGAAATGGACACTTTAATGTACCACTGTTAATATGTTAACTACTAATTTACCAAACATCTGAAATATTACAAAGGAAATACATTTTCATGAGTGTAATAGAGAAGACAACAAAGAGGGAGAGAGGATGAGACAAAGAGAGAGAGAGAGAGAGAGAGACCCCTTTTAGCAAGCTGAGTGCTAGGTAATGTCCTTCTAGAAGATATAAATAAATAGAATATATTCCCCTTCTTCTCTTTCATCCCTATTCTTTTAAAATAAATAATTAGTAAATAATGAAGTTAAGAGCATAATGGCAGAAAATAAAGAAGCAAGAATATTAAATTATCAGAAGGTAGTTGACAATATAACTTAGATAGAAATAGTGTTGCTCTAAATCAGCTGAACGAATTAGCTTTTAAAAGCAAATGTAAATGGAAAACTGACAATTAAAATACAAATTGTCAAAAGTACTAATAATTAATTTTCATATGATCAAAATACTAGGCAAATTAAAATAAATATTCTGAAAATTCATAAATTCAAAAATAACATTAGTTTAAGCAAAAGAAAAATAATCAAAGTAATTTCTAAGCAAAAGTTCCAGTCTGATCATGAATGATGATCACTGACCAAGAAATAATGAATTAAGAGTAAAAAATTTCAAATTTCAGTTTTTAATCTGATAATTAAAATTCCACTGATATGATATAAAAGAAATAACCAATTTCCATTCAAAAATTTCTGCACACCAATAAGCAGTATCACTTACAAAATATCTTAAAGTATATCCTCTGCCAAAATTCAAATATATAAATTTATAAAATGTTCATCTATTATAAATGCTACATACTAAAAAATCATAGGCTTCACCAGTTGCCAATTTCTGCTTTGCAAAAATAGCTCCAGTTTTAGAATGAATCGTAAATAAATCTGATCCTTTATCAGGCTCAAAAGAGTAACTGACATCACCATTTGGACCAATATCAGCATCGGATGCTACAACCTATGGAAAAAATTAAGCAATTACAACAAAGAATCTAAATTATAATCTATCTTATAAATACACTGGTAATAAGAAATCAGCCTTTTCTAGGCCAATTTTCAGAATCTCAATAAAGATTAATACAAAAATGTATTTCATGGTACTCAATTAATTGCATTACATTTTAATAATACCATATTTACTCATATATTTTTCCTCAGCCCCATTCCTTAATTTTACTTCTTGAAAATCAACTGAGCAAATTTACCTCTTAAGCCAAAAATTCTATATTTTTGAGGGGAAGATTTAATTGAAGGATAGGGTTCATTAAAGAGCTATAAATAGATATACTTATGTTTCATATTTCAAAAAGTCACCTAAAATTATTAATTTCTATACTATTCTTTTTTTTTTTTTTTTTTATTTACATAATGTATGTTTTCACCTGTGCATTGATTTTAAATTGTTACCTAAGACACGAGTTTGAAAAAGGGAGAAATATATGCATCCATATTGTTCACTTATATATTTTATCTGATTATTTTGGAATTTACCAATATATTTTTTATTTATTTTACATGACTACAATTGTGCCTTTAGTAGATGTATCAGTATTAAACAAAATGTACCAAAACTGAAATCTATGCAAATAAGAATTGTGACAAATATGTAATTTGGGTTATAATTCTTAGACATATATAAAACAAAAACAGGGAAAAGGACAATTAAAAACTAATAAAATTCCTTAACTGCAAACAAAATGCAGCTATAAACAATTTGGTAAATCAAGTAAATTATAAGAAAAATTTGTAATCCTTCATTGTCAAGCTTAAGGCAAAGTGCCCCCCCCCCAAAAAAAATGCTTAGTAGAAAATGCAGTTACTGCAAAAAAGTAAAAGGATCACATAATATTGTAGCTGTTCATCAGGAAGCAAACCACAATTCAACATAATTAAACACTTTTCTGAATTAATGTCAGGAAGAATTAAAAAAATTGAATCATTTAAAAACAACTTTAATGTTAAAAATGAAAAATAAAAACTAAAATCCCTTCCAGAAACAAACCTGCTTCAAAGCAGCCAGAACAATGCCAAAATATGATTACAAAATCTAGAATGAATCTAGAATTATACAAAGCTATATTAAAAATAACAATAATTTATGATATGTAATTACCTGGCACAAAATGACATTTGGGTCAGCTTCTTTCATTTCCAAAACAGGACAACGATAAGGTGAAAGAAGAGGTTCAGGGTCATTATCATTTTCATCAATGACTGACACTAAAACTCTAGTTAAAGATGATAAAGTTGGATTCCCTCCATCCTCAACTTTAATCTAAAATAAAACAGATTAGTCTATATAAATAAATACTTGTTACAATGTTTAATATTAAAACAATAAGAACAAGAATTCATATATAGCTTACAAAAATCTCTTCATTTTACCTTATGCAGCAGATTTGTATTGTTTAATAATACTTTTTGTCTTTCATTTAAAATCAATAGAGTGTGAACACTTTAAAAATTCAGCTTTATTTATTCATGCATAACATAAGATAAAATTAATTAAACAAAGATAAAATAAATAAAATGCGAGCAAAGAAAAACATTCTGGGTTCTATTAGGTTATGAAAAATATTTACATGATCTTCATTGTTAAAATAAACAAAATTAAGACTCCATTCAAAATTTTTAACCAGCCACCCAGGCATAGAAGTGATTAGTAGCTTTAACTCTTAAATACCCAAACAGAACCCTACCACACATGCTTTTCACCAAAAGCTAAAACAACTTCAAATTTGAGCCTGATGTTAAAAATGGCTTGAGCAGTAATATACATATAAAGAGATCATTAAAGGAACTGGGAGCATTTTTTGGTTTTGCAGACAAGCAAATTTAAATTCTAAAATTATAGCCCAATTTTTTTAGTAAATCTTTACAGGACGTAAGATATAAGTATTCTAATATGATGCTGAATCAAAATGGTAAAACCAGAAAGCCTCCGAAATCCCCCCCAAAAAAATCTTTAACTGAAACGAAAATAAATTCATTGATGATAATGCATTAACTTTTAAGCTCAGTGGATAATGTAGCAAGTATTATAGTTATATTTTAAAATATACATACTGAAACATGCAATTTAGATGGATGTTTAAGAATTCTGTAACACATGTTAACTGTTTCAGAAATCAGCAAGCCCAAAATATAGAAAACAATACAGCAGTTACCTCTTCACTTGCCTTGGTATAATATTATGAATATTTCACAGTTTTGGAAAAAAAATGCATCTGCATTTCATTACACTTGATTATCTGCTAGGCATAGCTATCCAAATGACTACTATCCGATGATATAGCTATCATTTAAAACAAAATATATTTTCAAAAATATTTTTTTTTCCTTTCGACAGTCATTACTAAATTCCTGATAATAAAAAGTAATTAATATAGTAATTAAAAACCAAAATTATATTTGGCAGTTAGAATAAACGATATATCAAATCTTGAAGGTGATGATAATAACTGTCCTTAAACTGAGGAAATATAATGCCACTATATTTACCTCCAAAGCATGTTCTGCTTGAACTTCTCTATCTAGTCTACGTGAACTGGAAGTTGTGATCAAACCTATAAAAAAGTAACATTGCAAATGATCACTACAGCATACCTTAATATAATTAATTAACATACTCTTTAACATTAATGTTTGTTCCTTAAATGGGATGAGGAAAAAATAGAAGTATAAATTAACTCAACAACTGTACATAATAAATAATAATTTTACAACATTAGAATGAAACGCAAGAGTAAATGAAATGCATTTATTCTAAATGAAAGCTATAAAGAGCAAACATTTCAGCTTTTCGAAACTTGTCATAACAGATGAAAAAAAAAAAGACCTTAGGATCCTAAGACCATTGTTGGCACAATGTAGATGGGTCATTCTACCTTTGAAGCAGTATTAACTCTAAAAGTTCATCAGAGATCTATTATAGTTACAATAAAAATAGAATACACCTCAGAAAATGAAGGCTGCTACACATTGGTCAATATCTATTAAAGACATCATTAAAGATGTGCCCATCACTTAGGAGTAGTTTAAATTTTTTAGCAAATCTATCTGCAGACATTAAATAGCAGTTATTTACAATAATCCACATTTCAGTATGGTGTTCAAATATGTCTTGTTAAATGGAGAAGCAGCAGACAACGAGATGAAGTTATTAGTTGAAATTCAGTTATACATTTCTTTTACAGGAATGAAGAAATACTATATTACTGGATTACTGTAGGATACAATACAAATTTCTTTTCCTTTTTGACTCTTATATAACTAAGAATGCATAATTATGTACGTGTAGGCTATAGTTTTTCAACGTTTTCACTTCACTACCCCCTTTTCTCTATTCCCACCCAGTGCCCTTTCCGAATTTGTTCAGTGACTCCTACGTCTTGCAATAATGATGCATTAAGTCTCTATCACATATGCTTCCGTTACGCGGAACTGAACGTTGAAAGAGACCTTTCTCAGAACCCGAACATTTCTACGAAACCTACATAGCTAGGTTACCATTTTCCTTACTAAATAGACTCGAATGCCACCAAACAATAATCAATTATCGCTCAGAGTGGGATCCTTCAGAAGCAAAACTTTCTTCTGATTCGTTGATCTCTACCTGGGACAGAAGTGCAGACAGAACACTTTCAGCGAAGTTTCAAAATATCCAGCATAGCCAGGACGCATATAAGCAAAATGTACACTGCTAGGACAACGGCTTGAGTTTGGCCAATGACAATCCAGATAAGGGTCACCATTAATTCCGCCCACATGAGTGATGTTACATTTCTGACGTTTGTTTACATTCTGCTGTTCAGTGTTTTCTTTCAATGAAAAACATTTTTAATCTGCAATGTAAATTTGCTCTAGTGATGCTATTTTTTAAATTTTTCTTTAAAGTATTATTTCTTACTGTTCCAGAAGGAATATAAATTTATGTCACAAACTTTACAAAATTTCTTTCTATATGCGTGTGTGTGTGTATATATATATGCGTGCATGTGTAATACACACACAAACATATATTTTCAATATATTCAATATATATCATATATTAATTATATGCATCATTACATGTGTGTAAATGCATATAAATATGAGCGAGTGTGTGTATGCATGTATTCATTTTTCAGGATGTCAGATTTCTAGCAAATAATCTTTTTCACATCTAGCTAGGGGAGGGGGAATCTTTTTTCTTTTAATAAAAAGCTTTTTTTTTTATTAAGAGAATGCTTTTTTGCTCTTAATTTTTCACATCTTCACATTCACTTTTTTTAAATAATTAAGATGAATGTATTCATATTTAATATTTCTTCAGAACTTGATTTATCACTTAAAAATACATTTATTTAATTTTGGATAAGGTGGGATGTGAATTCCAGCAGCATTTTTAATAGTAGAATAATTTCTCTAAAGAAGCTTTTGTTTGTTTTTATTTTTAAATTCCTTTAAAAGAAAATTACTAAATAATATTAGAAATAATTAATCTATTACTTCTTACACACGTCTTAAATATGGTTCATGGAAATTTTCATTCAATAGCTTTATGAATTTATTTTATGCAGTATTTTAATTTAATAAGAACTAGTATTGATAAATGAATTTCCATTGATTTCCTTATACATTTAGTTTAAAATTCAGTTTTCAGTGCATGTAATTATTCGCCTTCATGACCCTCTACACACAGCCTAAAAGCGGCTGACTGGAACGCTAATAGTTCGATTCCAGGTGGATAGGCTGGCTGCATGAACACTTACCTGGTTTTCCACATGTGTAAACATGGATATGAGTTTTTTTTTTTTTTTTTTCTTAGAAAATCCTCTGCAAAGACATCCCTCCCGCATAGACCCTGCATGCTTTCCATAATCAAATAAACCAAACCAAACCAAACCTTCAAGCAAAACAGCTTCTCAATAGAATTCTTCATATCTGTCAAGCAAATAACATTCACTAATGTAACAAATTGTCATTATACACACTAAATCAAACTCGAAAGTTTTATTAATTATGCTTACAGAAACAAAGTACTTAATATCAGATTTTGTTGATTAATTTGCCCTTTTAGAAATAGTTGAATAAATTTCTTACCTTTAATAAATAGAGCAAACCCTTTCTAAAATGACCACTAGCAGTTCTACATGGTTTTAATTTTGTGCAGAGCTTGTCATCTCAAAGAGAAGAAGTTCAGTAACCAGAATTTCTTGTATATTGAGGAGAAGTGTCAGTTTCAGAGGTGATCACAAAAAAGAGTTTTGCCATGTTAAAATGTTAATCTGTTCCTAACATTTTCGCAGGGTTTGGTTAATGTGATTATGGCGATGCCTCGAGAGCTATCTGCCTAAGGAGAGGGATGGCTTTGTGGAGGACTTTCTAAGGGAAACTTGTTTGTATACACATTACACATGGGAAAAACCATGAAAACGTTCATGCAGCCAGCCTGTTGGCTGGATTCGAACCTCAGACCGAACAACTAGTGTTCAGCGACTTTAATGTTCGCCGCTGTCGGACACCTTTTTTTCAGGGAAGGAAGTGTTTTCTAAGTGTAGGACATAACATATCAGTCTAAATGGTCCACAATAAGATTTGATCTAGGAAATGAATAATGTTGAAGCTGAAATTAAAATTATATAAATTTGAATGCCATGCATGCATAGTGAATCTCAAATTTAGTTTCCTGCGATGTGATTTTTTTAATGTAAAGATCAGGCTTTGGTATATTAATATATATATAAATTTTAAATATAGCATGAAGTTTTATATTTGAGTATAATACTGAAAAATGTTAGACATATGAGAAAATAAATGTATGTTTTCTTCACATATTATGAATATTCATTCCAGATTTAAGGGAACATGAAGTTATACAATTTCAAATCCACTAGAAAAATGTATGATAGTCACAAGTTTGACAAAAGACTCTTTGCTCAAATGATAAAAGGCTTTGGGGCTTTGGAGAACATAGATGCTAATTAGAAATGTGTGCTAAATACGAGGCCATTGCTATCCACATAAATGCACTGCATTAATTTTAATACTGTTTAGGTTCTTATGCATTATCCCTTTGACTGGCCAAGTAGCATGATTTAGTGCCAATTATAGATGACTGTGCTTTTAGTAATTCCATAGCAATGATTAGTGCTTGGTTACCATAGCCCAAATTTCGACAAACGATTGGTGAGATAATACGTAAGTATCCTATTTTATATTGACATGAATGAAAACTAAATTTTTTATCATCTACCTTTCTACTAAAAAAATTTTTTTGGACCTTGGTTTGGTTTGGTTTGGTTTATTTAATTATGCAAAGCACTTGCATGCTATCTGCTTAAAAGGAGAGATGCTTTCATGGAGGACTTTCAAAGGGAAACTGCCTCTTATACACATTACACCTGAGGAAAACCATGAAAGCACCTATGCAGCCAGCATATTTTGCAGCATTTGAAATCCAGACTGAATTGCTAATGTTCAGCAACTTTACCACTCCGGCGCGGGTGGTCTAGCCATCGGTGCTATTAAACTAAAATTCATCTATATTTATAAAGGGCCCATCAGAAAAATGCACACACTTTAATTAATAAAATAAAATTCTTGTGCTTTAGTACTGAACTGAATTATAAGTCAATTAAATCATACATATCAAAGGTTAGCGTAAGTTTCATATAATATTCTTGAATATGTACCTATACAGTTAGTTACTTAGATTGCTCAAAGTATTACAGTGGTAGCCATTAACAGCGGTAGCCATTAACACATAGCACAATACTGAGCAGTTATTTTGAACTAATGTTTAGTCGATGTGTCTGAGCGGACTGCTGCACATTCTGCCATAATTTTTTTGATGAAGGACCTGTAGCCTAACCGATTTACTATACTACACAACATCCCTCCAAATCCATTTTGGTTCACTGTCATGTGTCAACATATATGTGAGAGTACCAACATGTTAAGGAAATATCATACTACATATTATAAAGAGTAATTCAACTTTGAAACCATATATATAGATATCATCTGTTAAAGTCTGTATGTATTTTTCTAGCATATCCTGTATGTGAAGTTGTACTTTTCATTAGTTACTCCCACCTTTTAATTAACGTAGAGGTATTACTGTACAGAATATATATGAAACTGAACTGATAAATTTTTCATATCTGTCTCTTTCATTTGTTTGCTTTTCATATATTTTTTAATAGTTTTATTTTTTGATGTTGCTTTACATGACGTCAATTTAAACATAAGAAAGCAGAGAACAAAAGAAATTCACACTGAAACTAAATTTAAAATTAGTCTGATGATTACTAATGTAAAATAAATAGTGGCTAATTTATTATCAAAATTACATAAAAGGCAAATGAATAATTAACATATTCAGATTTTAATTACAAGTAAAAATTTTATATTCCTAACAGTAAAAATGCACATATTACAATGTTATTCATTTATTACTCACAACCAACTCAGCAGAACTCGTCAAATTTTTAAAATGTGCCAAACTCTGGCAACCATGCTCATAACAATCCTTTAATAGGGCCGTTTTTGTATACATTATTTGTGTTGTGATGAACATGTT